AGTGTCTCTCCGACTCCTGGACCTGCTGCGCCCTCCAGGGCACCCCCCACATCAGCACCCCTCTCCCCCTCTGTTGTAGCGGTTCTCAACCCGTGGGTCACAACCCCTTTGGGGGTCGAGCAACCCTTTCATGGGGATCGCCTAAGACCATCAGAAAACACAGACTTTTACATTATGATTCATAACAATAGCAAAATTACAGTTATGAAGTAGCAATGAAAATAATTTTATGATTGAGGGGTCAGCACAACATGAGGAACTGTTAGAGGGTCGCAGCATTGGCAGGCTGGGAACCACCGCTCTGTCGAAACCTTCCCCTCTCCCAGAAGCCCCTCCCAGTCCACCTCGGGGGCTGTTTCCTCCTCTCCCTACTCTAACCACGCTCTCTCCTCCTCTACTGAGTAAGCGTCATCATAATTTGTCTGTTATTACTACAAACGCCACATTGGTGCACCAGAAAACTCCATCATGCTCACGTGGGAAATGTGATTTGGGTCATTGCTCCTGGTAAGACTCTCAGTCCCTTGTGGATGCTCCAGGCTGAAATCCTGGTTACCTTACGACTGCTTTGCTTCCTTTGCTCTCAACTCCTTCCTGGAGTTTCCTCACCTCTCCCTCCTGGGCCTCTAGATATTGGAATCCTCCCTCAGGCAGAGCTCCTGTCTGTGACCCTTGTCCCTTCTGTCTCTCAGCACCCTCCTGGGAGGGCCACTGCTTCCTTATGCCTGGGCCTCTGGCTTTTTTACACCCACCAGGGCCTTTTTTCTCTTCTTCCTCAGATTCAGAGATTTCTGTGTACCACACTTTTAAGCCCAACACTGGGGAGGCAGAACCAGGCAGAGGGCAGATCTTTTTGAGTTCAAGAACAGACTCGTCTACAGAGTGAGCTCCAGTCAAAGCTACACAGAGAACTCCAGCCTCAAAAAACAAAAACAAACAAGAAATAGACAAAAAAGGATCAAGAAAATAAGGATCCCAGTCCCTCTGTCGATTGTATTTATGGTTTTGTAAAGTCCCCAATCTCTCTGTGGACTTTGATTTGATTTGATGCTAAAGGATCTTAAACTCCAATTTTTAAGGCTCAAACTACTAACTTGTAACCTGTTAGATAATTAAGGCATGTAGGTTAACGGTCAGCCACCTTATAAATATGTGAATTCTTTTTTTTTTTCCTGGTTTTTGAAGACAGCATTTCTCTATAGCTAGTTCTCTAGAACTAGTTTTGTAGACCAGACTGGCCTTGAACTCACAGAGATCCAACTGCCTCTGCCTCCCAGTGCTGGGATTAAAGGCATGTGCCACCACTGCCTGGGTACAAATTCTTTAAGGTACTCAAAACTATTCTCATAAGCCATGCTAAGCACAAATGTAATTCGTTTACAGGGACAAGCTTTAGCCTCCTGTATATTTTTTTCAAGGTTAAGCCTAAAGCAAGTAAGTAAAAACAAGTAATGTAGAAGGCCGCAACCACACTCTCCACCATAGATGGCGCTGCACCGCCAGGTGAGCTAGAAAGCTCACA